CACTGGCCCTGAAGTCAGGAAGACCTGAGTTCAAATGCGGCCTCAGACCAAACACTTGACACTTACTAGCTATGTGACCCTGGGCAAGTCACTTAACCCCAATTGCCTAAATAAACAAATGAATAAATAAATAAAACAAAGGTTTCTACAGTTAGTCTTGTAGTTTCAAAACTAAGCTTTGCCACTCCTGCTAGATATTAAACTTGAAGAATAATCAAGTAAATATTAGGTTTTTCTGAGATTTTGGATAGCTGGATCTAGGGAAAATGCTGACTTAAATGAAAAATGCTTAGGGTGATAATAACTACAGTCAACAACAAAATTACTCAAATACTTCTCAAGATGGAAACAATGACCACAGCATTAAAGCTGCTTCTTTCCAAGTGACTATTTACCATTCTGAGTATCCTCAGATAAGAGGACCTTAGAAGATCTCATATAAAGTATTTTATCAATCAAGGACCAGGTTTGTTTATTGAGCTCTATTATTTAACCCAAAGCAAAAAATCAACAAAGCTCAACTTGGTTTCATGCAGTTGATCAAAAGCTAGAGAAAGGTTCAAGCTCAGGAAACTTTTGTAAATGTGTTCAAAAAATACATCTAAGATGATATTTAAGTGAGAGGTTATTCCTAGGTAGAAATACAAGTTAGGAAATATGACACAGGTAAAAACAAAAGGCACACATTAATATTTGTTGAAATTAACTGAATTTCAGCTCTTCCTCTTAGCAACCTGCTTTAAAGGACTGCAAGTCCCAAAGTTCCCAGTCTAGCAGGCTGCCCAAAGTTCTTAACTTGGGAGGAGGAATGGCTAAAAGCCCCAGTCTTCCTTGTATACAATGTACCTTTTCAGTACCAAATTGATGATGTCACACACATGAATATAAAAGGACAGCTACTAATAGGCGCTTTTTTGACATTCACAAAATATGCCTAAAAATAAGATTTAAACAAGTACCCTGGTCTGAAGAGCAGAGGTAGGGATGACCAAACCAATATGTTAGGAAATGAAGATGATTTGAAAACAATGGTATCAATAAAAATTTAAACTTAAAAAAAGTATTCACCAGACAAAAAAGTATACTTCATTCTCATAGTCAGATTCTCACATGAGAATATATTCTCATAGTCAAAAGGCAGGAAAACAAGGAGAACAAACTTCTGACCAAGTATAAGGTTCTGTGGTCTAATACTTCAATATCTAATCATATAAGTAATCAGGAGAACTTTTCAAAAACAGCTCCAATTCAACTTTACCACTTAGCTGTGTAACTTTGGGTAAATCTTACTTCTTTTTGGCTTCACTTTCCTCATCTATAAAAGGAGGAGGTTTAACTAGATTATTTCAGTTCTAACGCGTATGGATCACTGATTCCAACACTGAAAAGATGCAACCAAACAACTCTTGCATGAACTAAATGCGTTATAAAATTAACAGCTTATAAAACAGAGAAAAAAGAAGAAAAGACCATCTCAAAACTCTTGGAATTAGGAACGGCTCTCGAAACTCTCACTTATGTCTCTGAAACATAATCTCTGAGGTCAAGACACAAAGTGTCAGCTAAGTAACAACTTATAAAAGACAGAAAAATGCTTATCCTTCCATCCCTCTCCAGACTGCATTCTTGACTATCTATATGAACTTTGTCTACCATGCCTCAGAAACTTTTTCACCCTGTAAATAAGTTTACTCCACCTCTGGCTTCTCACACTTCAACTATCCTCTGCCCTTTTAACTTCTTCCTCTCACTGGCTGGCTTCTCCCAAAAGGTCTATTTTAAGAATGACACCCAGACCAGCCACCTGTTCATTCCTATACAAGCTATGTTCCTGATCTTCTAAACTTTACCATTCCTCTGTGCAGGTAGGTATTCTTCCACCTCTCTTCATTTTCCATTCGGTTTCCTTCTTTCCCCCATTAGAAAGCAAGCTCATTAGGGCAGTTAGACGGCGCAGTGGATAGAGCACTGGCCCTGGAGTCAGGAGGACTTGAGTTCAAAATCCAGTCTCAGACCAGACATTTGACACTTACTAGCTGTGTGACCCTGGGCAAGTCACTTAACCCCAATTGCCTCGCCAAAAAAACATAAAAGAAGGAAAAGAAAGTAAGCTCCTTGAGGGTAGAGACTGTCTTTCAGCTGAGCACAGAGCCTAGCACATAAAAAGCTTTAATAAATGTTTGTTGAACTTGTCGACTTGATGTGAAATACTTAAATGTGTACGTGTTATTATGAAGAAAGACACTACTTGCATCCAGAGAAAGAACTGATAAATAGAAGTATGTATAGAATGATATTACATATATATACACCTATTTGTGTCTAATGGTAGCCATCTATAGGGTAGGTAGGGGAAAGAAAAAAGACATTTACATGATAATTTTGTTGTATATTTGAAAGGAATACAAGTTGTGCATAGTAGATTTGTAGTTTCATGTGCAATCATCTTTTTTTATTGTACTATGTTATGGAAATGCTTGTTTTATTCCACAAATTAAAAATAAAACAATAATAAAAAAATTAAAAGGGCTATTAAAAAAAAGAATTTAAGTTTACTGAAGACAGGAACTGTTTTTTTTTTTCTTTATTTTCTCAATACCTAGCATAGTGTCTGTTGCTAAGTAGGCACTTATTAAATATCTGTTGATTTGATAACTATCCATTCAGTTCAAGAAACTCTTGTTAGCAACTTACATCCTCATTCTCCAGTTGCTGCCAATACATGGAACATACTTTTACAAAGAGTTGAGGCATTTACCCCAGAAAGCGAATCACATTTATCTACTGACTTATTTTATAAACTTGAGAAACATATTCCCCATACTCCATCCACTGCACCTGTGGTTACTACAACTATAGTTACTACTATACCATACTACTACAATCATAGTTAACTGGTACCTCCACTTTAAAGATAAGGAAACTGAGGTTCTATGAGGTTAAGTGACTTGTACAAGTTCACAACTAGTAAATGTAAGAAGTAGGATTTAACTCATCTTTTCTATCATTAGAAATGAATTATGTTCTTTTTGGAAACACTTGCTAGAGATGGGAAGAGAATTCATTTAGAGAAACAAGTCCAAGGGGATGAAGGCTTCGACTAAATTCTCTGATTACAAGACACAGTTTACTTGTTACTATTCTCTTCTGGGCCCAGGGCCAAACTGAGCAGCCTATTACGCTGGCATAAAAACACCCACAATTTTAATACCTACATTTAAAAAGTTACTACTCAATTGCCTTAAAAACCATCAAATATTTAACCAACAGTGGAACCTATGTAAGAAATAGCAGTAACCCCTGATGTTCTAGTTACTTTCAAATGAGCTACATATAATCAGACCTGATACAGCAGACTCATTATAGCAAAGAACAAAGTTAGGAAAATAAATAAAAATTAGTATTCATAGCTTGCAAAAAAAATGGCATGTCATTCTTATCATAATACAAATTCCCTAGTGATAAGTCCAACAATACTAGTAGAAAGTAAAGTTACCAAGCACTTATTTAGGGCTTACTGTGTGTCAGGCACTGGGCTAAGCACTAGGTGCACAAGGAAGGCAGTCTCATTTTATTCTCCTTCTACAGGTCTAATACCTTAGCATCATTTCATCCAAAATAAGAATAAATAAGGTTTAAAAAAAAATAAAGTTGCTCACAAGAACACAATTGTGTGTCTGCTAGAAAGCCAGTTAAAGATATAAAAATGTATTATTACATGGAGAAGGCAGCTACCGTGTTGCAATTTAGGACAAGAAACTCTGCAGGAGTGGAGCTGGGTGCTCTGTCTAAATGAAAGGCTTTTTAAAAAAGAAAATAGCTTTAAATTCTAAAAACATCAGTTCTTTATCATCCTTAATAAGAGTAAAAAGAGAAATCTACTGACCTTGAAGGCAAGATATTAACTTTTCAGCCCTGGTTTCTTCTAACCCCTTAGAAAATACGCATTAAAGACCTCCTACAGATATGGGAGTCTGGGGTACGCAAGAGGCTATATACCGTGGCAGAAAAAGCACTGGACTGAGAATCCAGAAACCTAGGTTCTAATTCTAGCTCTAGCACTCTCTTTGGAACCTTGGGCAACTTACTTTAGTTCTTCAGGCCTCAGTTTTCTCTTCTACATACTGAAGAGTCCACACTGGTTGGCCTCTAAAAGAACGCTTTCAGGCCCATGTCAAAATATTCATAGAAAAATATACATAACATATATAACATACATAAATTCATATACAGATCAAAATAGTCATAAAGTTTTTGTGGTAGGAAAAAAGCAAAAATCAATAAGAGAACCTAGAAATTAGAGAATAAACGAACTGAAGGTAATGTAATATCACTGAACCATAAGCAAAGACAAATGCAAGGAGTTCAGAGCAACACAGGAAAATGTATATGAACTAATGCAGAGTGAGGAAAACAATCAGAAGAATATATACAATAATATGAATGAAAAGAATATTAAAAAGCAGTAAACGCAATGACAAATGTTGGTTTCATAAATAGGCCTTTTCCCTACTCTTCTCTCAAAGGGACAGGAGGTGGTAGGGTGGGGTGATGACTAATGCTAAATAGTCCGGTAAATATAGTAGCTATGTTATCTTATCTACATATACACTGCATTTCTCTAGTAGGATGGGTGCTCCTTGAAGGCACAGACTTTTTCATCTTTATCTCTGAATCCTCAGAAGCTATCATAGTGCCTTACACAGAAAGGTAATTAATAACTACATTTAGTAAGTATTTAATGCTTTTCTCCCAGCTAAATCAATAGGGAAAACTCAAAATGAATCTTCGAAAATTTGTGCAATCTATTACCTGGACTACAATTATGTTCTAATTTGTTTTCTTACAAACTTGTTCTAACTGAACGACCACAAAATGTAATAATAAACCTAAGTTCGAGAACAAAAGTACTATCATTCCTCAAAAAAGGACTCTAATGTCATAGAGCAGCATTCACTGTGGATGAACAGGACTCCATCAGCACAATGTTTCAAACTTACCAAGACTCGATCACCAATTTTCAGCTCTCTTTCTCCTTTCTTTACGGACCCAGCTTCTGAAAGGTTGGAGACGGACTCACTAGCTGTTCTGGTGAGGTTGCTGATCTGAGTAGTAGTAGCAGATTCCTTAGCTATGGGCTGGGAAGCCTTATGGGGTATACTGCTGGGGGAAGGTGCAGCCGGAGATGAGGATGCCACGCTGACCGTGGAAGTGGAGAGAGGGGATGTGGCTCTGGAAGCAGAGGCAGCCGGCATGCCATTGGCTTCATCTTCTGTCAGCACTTTCCTCGTCAGCTTTGAAGGCCTTGTAAAGATGCCCTTTAAAGGTTCACACTGGAAATACCGAATTCCTGCCACTGATCCATCATTCTTGCCAATTGGTTCATCCAACACAATTCCAGCCCACTGGCCTGGTGCAAACTGTGTCTCCCCAAGAAACTGGATGAATCCAGGCTTGTTGCCATTCACCCAAACACGTTCCCCAACTCGAAAGTCATCCACAAACTCTTCATGAGTCTCAGGGGATGGTGCACTTGATGTCTGATCAACGGATACTGCCTTTTCTACTGGCGCTGGAGCTACAGCAAGAAAAAAAAAAGAAGAGAATATCAGTAGAGATCAAGCCTGATACTTAAGCATATACAGTCCAGAATCAAAAGCATATGTGTCGTAGAAAGCAAAACAGGCCGTTCTGTTCTGGTACGTATAATTTTTTTTAAATTTTTGTTTTCCAAGTAGCGAGAAAGATAAAAATATAAGAAGAGGCTTCCCTTTAATTTCTACTTAATGAAGCCTTTTACCAGGTACGACAGTGAGGACTGCTGTTTACTTGCAGTTAAGATTAGAAAAGTACTTCTCAGAGGAAAAGGTTAAATGTAAAATAATAATTATCAAAACTCATACAACTCCATTTAGGACATAGCCCTAACTTTATTCTTTAACTTGAGGTAGATCATGGAAAGCAATCTTTTGCAAAGTATCTCTGGCTCCATTTTTCGTCACAAGTTAGTTAACTAGAGTTAGTCAGGACCAGAAGTTATCTAGCAAAACCTCAAATTCACTCTCTAGCATCCCCAAAATTGCCCCCATTCAGATAAAAAAGAGATGAAAGTCACACCAAGAAACAACAGAACTATGAGAATGAAGAGTAATAATTATCCTACTCTTACACACAGCTCCTTAGGAAGGAAGGATATGCAATGACATATGTGTAGTTTTCAGTGTGGTCATAAAATGCTGGAATTGGAAGGGAACTCTGAGGTCTAGTCTAAGGCCTACCTGAAGTTAGATCTCTTCTACAATATCTCCAATAAGTGCTCATCTTTTACATAAAGTGTTGCCAGAGATTAATCTTTTTAAAACTGCTTGCAGTTTAAGAGGTGAAAAGCCAAAGAGATAACAAAGCATTTTTTAAAAAAGCAAAACAAAACTGTTGGGTTTTTTTAAAAGACTGTTAATACTTTCAATTCAGTTAAAATAGTCATTAAACATTTACTATCAGCTAGGGCTTATGCTAGGTACTAGGGATACAAAAACAAATACAAATAGTTCCCACCCTCAAGAAGCTTATATTTTATGGAGGTACACAAGCTCTACACAAATAATTATAGTGCCAGGAAAATTAAGTGGGGAGAGAGCACTAATAAAATGGAAGGGGGAGACGATGGGACACTAGGGAAAGTTCCATGAAGGAGGTGACACTCCAGCTGAACCGTGAAGGGAGCCAAGAACTCCAAAAGGTGGGAATGAGGAAGGATTAAATGCCAGGCAAGAGGCAGAGCTTATGTAAAGGCACAGAAGAGGAAAACGGAGTACTGCATTCCAGTTTGGCTAACACATCATCCATGAAGGGGAGCCATGGGAAAGAAGGCTGGAGAGCCTTAAATAACAAGCTAAGAAGTTTATATTCTATCCTAGAGACAAGAAGAGGCCACTGAATGCTGTACAGATATCAGATTTAGGATGGTTATTTTGGATGTGGAAGATGGATTAGAGAAAGAAAGGGCTGGGTACGGGAAAGATCGCTTAGGGAGCTCTTGACAGTAGTCCAGAGGAGAAGCAATAAGGGTAAGCATGAATGTAGAGAAGGAAAGAGATGTAAGAGATGCTTCTGAGGCAGAACTGACAACACAGGGCAACTAACTGGATAATGATATGCTGAGGGAAAAGGAGGAGTCAAGGATGACTTTCAAGTTATACACGTGGCTGGCAGGAAAGATGGTACCCTCAAAAGAAATGGAGAAGTTTAGAGGAGAGGCAGGTTTAAGAGAAAAAATAATGCTATCTATGGGGCATCCAAGAGGAGCTATCTAAAAGATAAGAGACAGATTAGTGTTAAGACACACAGATTTAGGAGTCACCTACATAGGGATGATACCTACAGGGGAGCTAGGTGACACAGTGCTTGAAGTGAGAACCCAAGTTCAAATCCAGCCTTAGATACTAGCTATGTGACTCTGGGCAAGTAATTTAATTTCTGTTTGCCTCAGTTTCATCATCTGTAAATGGGGATGATGATAATAGTAACTACCTCCCAGCACTGCCATAAGGAAAAAATGAGAATATATTTAAAGTGCTTAGCACAGTACCTGACATGGTAGGCACTATATAAATGTTAGCAGTTATTACACTGTACTAAATTTAACTAAACTGACCAACAAATGTAAATTTTTAAAAGGAATAAAGTCTGAAATTATGAAGGAAGCATCCAGCTCTAAAAGTCAATGAATTAAAATGTATATCTTAAACTAGAGAATATAAATCAAGATCTTAAAACTAGTATCTTAAAATTATACCATAACTGATTATACTTTAAAAATGAAAATGTAAAAATACCAGCAGCAGGTGTCTTCAAGGCAGTAGATCCAGGCTTACTGATCTTACTAGGGGCCTTAAGCCCACTTGGTTTTAGCATACTCATCTTCCTTATTACACCGAGATGTTTTTCCCAACCTTTGCTTCTGGTCACTATCTTTTCCCAACCATTGATACAAACGTAGGTGCTCCTGTGCTGAAGTCAGTCTTCAAGTTAAACCTGCAGAAAAAACATACCAGCATATTTTTAGCAACCACCAAAGGTCAGCGCATTAACTATTATATTTTCAACTTATTTATAAAGCTACCCATTCTCCCCAAATGAGGTAAAAGGTAAAAGAAGGCCATCATCTAATATAACCCAGGGGCAGGCAGTTGCTTCAGAATTCCAAGCCTGTAACATCTACAAAAGAATAGGATTTTGTTTTTTGAATCAAGACAGTGTTTCACTTTAAGAAAATTTTTGGCCTCGGGAATTCCGGCCTGGGCAAGATAGGAAAATCCAGTCTCAGAATAATAATGGTGATGATGATGATATTGATGGATATCCATAATATATATAGCCTACACAAGAGGTTCTTAACCTGGGGTCTCTAACTTTTTTAAAAAATATTTTTATTACTGTAACATAACTAGTTTCTTTTATAAACCTATGTACTTTATTATGTGCATACAAAAATATTATCCTGGGGCATCTAGGTGGCACAGTGGATAGAGCTCTGGCCTTGGAGTCAGGAGGACCTAAGTTCAAATGCAGCCTCAGACACATGATACTCACTAGCTGTGTGACCCTGGGCAAGTCACTTAACACTGATTGCCTCTCCAAAAACAAAACAAAACAAACAAAAATAAAAACAAAAATATTATCCTGAGGAGTCTTTGGGCTTCACCAGATTACCAATGTGGTCCATGACACAAAAAAAAATTAAGTGCCCCTGGCGTAGATAATATCTTCTCTGATCTCCGTAAGAGGTACGTTCAAATCTCTCTAAGTCATGTACAGTCAGTGTAACATTAAAATGGCTGAAATCCCCCCTATTCTTATAGGTAGTGGGTATAGGTCTATAGTAAACCATCCATCCTTTCTTATTCCATTCCCTCGTCCATCAGGTAGAAGTAAAGTCTGTAGCTGTACTGGAAATTCACTAAAACCTTTGCCTCTACATCAGTGGTTTTTCAAAATATGTTCAGAACCATCAATTTAGCTTGTGAGTTGGTTCAAAATGAAAAATTAAGTTACATTAGTGTCTGCATGAGGTTACTAGAGAACATGGGGCAGAATCAGAAACTGCTTATCAAATGACATTTTACTGTTATAAATTCATGCATCACATCATGGATGGATTGAGTAAGGTTACTGTGCTACTTTCATCATCACCACCAGCACAGAGAAGAAAGACGACAGCGTGATGACACAGTGTGTCTCATTTCAAGTGTAAAAGGCTAACCCTTAAAATGAGGCAGAATGGAGCTGAAGGAGTGACTTATTCTTTCTTGGCTTACTCCTTTACCCTGGCCCCTATCTCTAAGTGTTGACTGATCCCCAAAAAAAGGTACTGTAGTAAGCAAGCAGGAATAGAGGTCCAACGAGGTCCCTTACCTCAGTTTAGAGTTCTAGGACCAGAATTTTGAGAATCATTATTCTACCCAAATGGACTAACCAACTAGCAGCCCAAAGTTTTTCCTCCACGTTTTAGGGACCAACCTTACATTCCATTAACACATAAGTTCCAGTATTAAGGTCTCTGCCTATGACTCACAAAGCTTTTGGATAATAGAAGCAGGTCTGAATGTAAAACCAACAAGACTACAGCTTCAGCTTTCCTAAGACATATTCCTCTGGCTCCTGATCAGACTACACAGACTTAGCATTCTAAAACAAGGAACTCTGACAGAGATTTAATGCAGGAGTGAAATTTAGTCTTTTCCAACAAAAATGCAAAAGTTAAGTATCAATGATTCTAGTTACCAAATTTATTTTCTACTTCATATTATTATTAACAACTGCATGTCAAACTTGCTTACATGAAATTAAAGCTACTCAGGAGCTATAATGACCAAGAAACACCTTTGCATGACATTTTAAAGCAGGCAAGGCTGCACTTAAACAAATCAATTTTAAGAAGTATGGGGGGGGAATATCTCAGCAAAACAATTTTGGACCTCTTTTCTTAGAATTGCCTTTAGAATAGTTTAGGGGTTAGCCACCATCAGGCTTTTCTCCCTGTGACCTTAAACTCCAAAACCAAATCCACCTAGAGAACAAAAATTTGTTACTACTCTGGGCACTCACAAGAATGTGCCACAGTTGAGAGGATGCCCATCAACTGGGGAATGGCTGAACAAGTTGTGGTATATGAATGTAATGGAATACTATTGTGCTATAAGAAATGATGAGCAGGTAGACTTCAGAAAAACCGGGAAAGACTTGTGTGGTCTGATGCTGAGTGAAGTGAGCAGAACCAAGAGGACTTTGTACACAATAACAGCCAAGTCATGCAATGACTAATATTGATAAACTTAACCCTTCTCAGCATTACAAGGATCTAAGACATCTCCAGAGACCTCGTGATGGAAAATGCTATCCACATCCAAAGAAAGAATTACGGAAGTTGAATCGCTATCATTTTTTTTTCTCTTCTGTTGAGTTTCATTTCCTCTTTCTAATGGTTCCTCCTAGTGGTTTTAATTTTTACTTACAACTTCACTAATGTGGAAAATATGTTTAATAGGAATGTAAATGTATAGCTTATATGAGATTGTGCGCTGTCTTAGGGAGGGTGGCGGGGAGGAAGGGGGAGAAAAATTTTAAACTCAAAAGCATATAGAAGTGATTGTTGATAAATCAAAATAAACTAATAAAATTTTTTTTTAAAAAATTAAAATAAAAATTTTTTTAAAAAAAAGAATGTTCCACAGTCTCTGAATGCAATTTCCAAAAAAGGTATTCCAGAAACATTTGGGGCCACGTCATCATTACTGGAATGCATATATAACCTCCCAAGGTATTAGAATGTGTAAGTTCTCCTTCTTTCCCCACCCTCAGTTTTTAATAAGTCTATCACAAAATATTATTTGTAATAAAGGATGGCTCTCTGGGATGGGGGAAGGGGAGGGACACAGAAATTCTGGTGATGTAAAAAATAAAAGATCAACAAAAAATTATTTTTAAAAAAAGGAAAAAAATCTATCACATTATGTTACAGTCTCATCTTCTATAAAGTACCCACATCCCCAATTCTAAGTATCATGTGCCAAAGTACTTTAGCCAGCACATTTTTCAAACTAGGAACAACTGTAAGATGTTGAGGGAAGATACAACCTTTTCATAGACTTTCTTTAATCCACAATGAAAATAGATGGCACCACCCCCTCAACTCCTGCATTTGCTTTTCCCTCACAAATATAATAAAGGCATAGACAACAGGGAAATATTCATATTTTTAAAAAATGAATGAATGAATAAAGCATTTGTTAAGCTTACTATATGTGCAAATCAGCATGCTAAGAGCAGGGAATGCAAACAGAAAAGACAGTCTCTGCTCTCAATAAGCTTACTTTCCAACTGTAGAGAGAATACAAAGAGAAAGTTTTAGCTGCAAGTCAGATGGAAGGGTCCTGTGGTCCTCAGGGTATAGTGGAAAAGAAGACAGTAATGGTTCTATGAACAGGTGTTCCTACTGTCTTTAGATCTGTAAAGTGACTATCACTTCAAAGCAACCAAATACAATCACTTCTTTTGCTTAAAATGCTTATCTTCTCAGAAGTAAAAGAGGAATTTTCTTTATTAAGAGTGGGACCTAGATCCAGGACTGAATTTCTGTAGGAGAAGCCTAAATAGGCTGGACGGTAGATTTCCACCAGACACATCAACCTACATCACAGCTGCATAATCCCATTCTGTCTTTTGGTTGCAAAAGACTTGCATTTTCTGTTGAGGACCCGGAAGCTTGATTGCTAAACATCAAAGGAGGGATAAACAAATGTCCTTGTAACACACAGGTTTATTCTAAGAGATAAAAAAGCCGACCCTGAAAAAAGACAGACAAGAAATCTGAACTAGATTTAACGTCTTGGGCCTGAGATTCAACTGAGATTTGACCAGTTACTACAGATAAACAACTTATTTCCTAAACAGTGCCTTATTATCCCCTTTGGTTATTTCATGGACAGAAGAGTTTTTTACATTTCCCTGGCTATGTCAGATGCAGCAACAGTCAGAGACAGGGAAGACATCATTCTATCCCTCTATCCAATGAGAAATATTTTTTGTTCCCTCCAAATTAAGGACACTCATGCAGAGTAACCTGAACTTAATGTACTCCCTTTAACTAGAATAAGAACTAGCAAGGGACGATTCTGGAAATTTTAATTTTTCTGAGTAAGCTGATTTTACCCCATTTCTGTAGAGACTCTTCTCCCACATAAAGAGAACATTAAATACTTTCCTTCCCCCATCAAAATTCTTTTCTCCAATCATTCCTACAAAGGCTGACTAAAAGAAAAAAGGTTCAGCAGTTTTTCTACCCAGAGGCCAAACCAAATTTAAAAACAAAAACAGTCCTGTTGGACAAGGGGGAAATTAGCATATCACTATACCCTTAACCTACACATAAGGACTTATTCCACATTATTCCCCTGAGACTGATGAAACTGCCAAGCCCTATCCCCACATCTTTGCGCAGGCTGGAATGCACTCCCTGATCACTTCCGCTCTTTCGAACCCCCTAGGCTCCCCCGAAATCCAGGCACTACACCTAGTTCCCTAGATCATAATAAACTCTTCAGAAAAGTATGTTGTGGGGCAGCCAAGTGACTCAGCGGATACAGCTCCGGCCTTGGAGTCAGGAGGACCTGAGTTCAAAGCTGGCCTCAGACACTTGACACTTAGTAGCTGTGTGACCCTAGGCAAGTCACTTAATCCCAAATGCCTCACCAAAATGCAAAAAAAGAAGTGTGTTGAACTGAATTTCACCCAACTACCTGAGTTGGCCAAATGCGCTATCTCCATTTGAAGGAAAATTAGGATTTAATTCACATTTCATCACTTTGTGATAGTACAGAAACTCTCCTAAAGGCAGAGAGGAAAAAAAAGAAAAAATGTGGAGTCCATACTTTAAGTGGAGAATTCTTTATAGAATCAAGAATCACTTGACTACCTCCAAGAATCTGGAGTTCTCAGTTATTTGTTCAAACCCAATGCCACCATATATCTTATGG